AGTAGAAGACACTTCCCCCAAAGTTCCCTTTTCTTTCTTTCTTCCTAAAGCGATTTACTTATTTATTTTATGTATGTGAGTGTTCTCTATGCATGTATGAAAAGGGCATCAGATCCCACTCTAGATGGCTGTGAACCACCGTGTGGTTGCTGGGAATTGAACTCAGGACCTCTAGAAGAGAAGCCAGTGCACTTAACTGAGGAGCCATCTTTCCAGCCACCCCCCGCCCAGAGTTCCCTTTTCATTTTGTGCATTTTCAAACTGTCTCCCCTAGTACCTTCCAAATCTAAACAAATTGGGGTTGCTGTCATCTTGAAAAGAAACTCTGGACTCCTTGCCTCTCTCTAGCTACTGCTCTGTCTACCAAGCTCTCGTAGCTCCCCCTACCCCTGTGAAGTTCATTTCGGTAGTCAACTTGATTGGATTAAGAAACTCCTAGAAAAAAAGAAAGAAAGAAAGAAAGAAAGAAAGAAAGAAAGAAAGAAAGAAAGAAAGAAAGAAAGAAAAAAGAAACTCCTAGAGCATCCTAGAGGACACAGCGTTTCATATCTGTAATCCTAACATTTGAGAACTGGGGGCAGGGTGTCAGGAGTTCAAAGTCATTCTCAGCTGCATAGCAAATTTGACATCAGCTCAGACTACATGAGTGACCGTCTCCATACGAAAACAAAACAGTCGGACAAAAGACAGCGTAACTTTTAGTTGTTCTGTGAGGACTTTCAAAAGGGGGTTAACTGAGGGTATAAACACTGATTTGACTGTGGGTTGCACTATCCCATGGGCTGGGGTCTCAAGATGGGATAAAAAGAAAAGTTAGTTGAGCACCAGCATTTATCTCTCTGCAAATACAAGTGACTAGTTAGGTATTCAGGTTCTCATCCTTGCTGTGATGGACAATAACCTCTTAAACCGCAAGCTAAAACAAACCCCTTTTCCCTAAGTTGATCTTGCCACAAGCAATGAGAAAAGCCATAACATCTCAAAACTTCTTGATCATGATCATCTGTTCTTTGCATTGTCTTTTAAAAAGTGTTTTTCCGCCAAGTGCTAGTGGTACACACCTTTAATCCCAGCACTCGGGGAGCAGAGACAGGCAGACCTCTGAGAGTTCAAGGCCAATCTGGTCTACGGAGCAAGTTTCAGGATAACCAGGGATAGACATAGAAACTCTGTCTTGGGGGGGAAAAAAGGTTATCTTTACACTTACATGTCTACCGCGCACACACTCATACCACAGCATGTGTGTGGAAGTCAGAGGACAATTTGTGGAAATCAGTTCCTCTCCTATCACAGTGTGCGGCCTAGGAATTGAACTCATCAGGCTCGACAGCAAGCATCCTTACCCACTGAGCCACTCCACTAGCCCTGTTCTTTCCATCTTCATTTTCTTGTTTTTCTTTACCTCTCTCTGGTCAGCCTTTCTCAATACGGCTGCAGAGATTAAAGGTGTGTGTCATTAATACCTGGCTATTTATCACCTCTTACATCCAACAGCTGGGACTTACTTTTCTTACTGAACTTGAATGGATTTCTTTCTGCCCACTTGCAGTTCGTGTTATGTTTTCCCACCAGAATGAATAAAAACTTATTTGTAATTTATCTCCCAGCCTCGATTGCGCTGCCCCCAACCCCCTCCCAGCAACTGAAATGATCTTCCTGGACACAAATATGGCTACTTCCTGATAGATGTCACACAAGTTTTCTGCTCATTGTGTTTAGGAGCAAGTCCTTAACAGTCACAGTCAGTTGTGATCTGACCTGACCTCTCGGGCTGATTGTTCAGGTCTCACTGACCCCTAACATAAACATTCACAAATAGTAACAAGCCTCCCTGAACAACATACCCTACCAGAGGTATAGCATAAACACAAACTTCCACACCGCATACATAATACAGCAACTCACGTTTTAACAGCTATATTAGAATATTTACTCACAAGATACGCTCAAAGTATACATGCTAATGTTCTCACATACTCATGCATGTTCTCCACACATACTGGCAAACATATGTACATGCTCTCCATGTGCTTCAGTTGCATACACCAATATCATGTACTGCACATCATTCATCACTCCATGTGCTTAGGTACCACACATACTCTCTCTCACACATCACTTTCAGCTACTTCTCGCTCCTAGTAACCCTAGGACCAGGTAGGTCTTTGTCCACACTGAGATTTCTCCTTAGAATGTTGCTTTCTGCCTTCATTACCAGCTGTCTGAACTTCTTTATAAAGATCGGAAATAGTCCAAGGCTTTAACAATTTTTTGTATTTATTTTATGTATACGGGTGTCTTGCCTGCATGTATATTTGTGCATTAGGCGAGTGCGTGCGTGGTGCCCAAGAATGCCGAAGAGAGTGTTGGGGACTGGAGTTAACAAATGATTGTAAGCTGCCGTGTGGGTGCCGGGGTTCAAACTCAGGTCCTCTGCAAGGTCACAAGGCTCTTAACTACTGAGCCATTTCTCCAGCCCCAAGGATTTAAACCTAAAAGCCAGATAGGCTTGTATGCACCTGTCATGCTAGCACCGAAGAGGCTGAAGTAGAAAGATAACCACTTTGAGGCCAACCTGGCCTATATATTGAGTTCAAGACCCACCTAGGCTGTATAGTGAAATCCTGTCTCAAAATTACAGGGACCAGGAAGATGGCTCAGTGAATATGAGCACTTAATATCAAGCATGAAGACCCGAATGCATCACCAAAACTCGTGTACAAGCTGGACATGGTGGCATGTGCCTATAAGCAGATTCCTAATGAGACGTGAGGCGGAGCCTGGAGAATCCCCATTAAGCCATGGGCTGGGTAGCGGAGAACATACAGAGCAGTGGCAAAAACAAGAGGAACCCTGACTCAAAAAAACAAGATGAAAGATGAGACCCAACACCTGAAATTGTCTCTGACCTCCACACATGTGCCATGCCATGTGCATGCCCTCACATACAAACCCATACACACATACATATTTAAAAGAATTTAGAAAGGAATAAAATCTGAAGACCTGAGGTAGGAAGCCAGAGCGTAGCTTATTAGATCATGGATCTTCTTAAACGTCCCTCCCCTATGCATGTTATTTTTGTCACCCTGTCTGCTATCTCAGTCATCAATGCTGTAACGTATAAAACTGGAGGTGCGCCTGTGCTTATGACCACGACTAAGGTCGTGAAGCGAGCCCACTACAGCCAGGCTTAATGGTAAGAAATCCAGTGGGTAAGGAGTAGGGAGGAAGACACACGAATGAGCTCTGCCCTGAAGGACTTCAGCCTCTTAGTACAAAGGTCTGAGTTCAAAGAGTCTAGTTGGTTTGGAAAGAACCTCTCTCTCTTTTCTTTTCTTTTCTTTTCTTTTCTTTTCTTTTCTTTTCTTTTCTTTTCTTTTCTTTTAGAGACTGTGTCTTGTGTAACCCAGGCCGGCCTTGACATCGCTAATGTAGCTGGGAATGACTTTTGACTTCTGATCTTCCTGCTATTGGCTTGTGTAATCATACCCAGCTTTATAGGTAGGGAACAAACCCAGGGCTCCATGCATGCCAAGCAAGCACACTACCAACTGCGCTATGCCCCTGACCCCTGGTGAGCCTATTTCCAGGGATTAATCAGGCCTCTGGCATCCGCTGGAGCTATCTTCACTTGTAGTCAGGTGTTGGGGTAGTGCAGTAGGTGGAGCGCCTGAGGGCGGAGGGGCAGGGCTCCTCCTGAAGCCTGAAGCCTGAGCCTGGGAGCTGCAGTGACTGACGTGAGTCAGGATGTAGATAACCAACTTGGCTTGGGAATGCAGGAAGAGAGACTCGGCGAAGGGTTATTATTCCCAAATGCCGTGCAGAGGTGGAGAAGGCAGTTAGGATGTTACTCATAACCTTTGCAGAACGGCACTGTTGGGGGTGGGGGCCCATTGCCAAATTGCAGAGGTCTAAACAGGCAAGAGTAAAGCCCTCCTCTCAGGTAAGAGAGATTTCACGTCCGTCCAATCGTGAACAGGAGAGGAACCAGCAGGGAGGGCAAGATGAAGGTCTGTGACAGAGGGCAGGCCACTGTAGGGGTGGGTAGGCTTGTAAGCACACACGGAAAATCATGGACAGGCAAGAACACAGCCTCTAGGACAGGAAGACCTGTGTAGGGAGGGAGAGGGATACAGTAACTACCAGCATTTCTTCACTTGGGTACACCTTGGTAACCTGTGTCAGCCATGGTGTCTACAGCCATTCCCCGGGCGCTTGCTATGCCCATAAGAGCCCCTGCACTGGTATCTCCAAAGCCGACCACTCTTTGCTCACAGCTTTCCGTTGTTTTCAGCACTTCCTTCCTGTTAATACACTCAGCTTTGTAGCCTCTGTCATCTCTTGGTGTCTGAATGCCACCTCCCTCTGACACCATCCCTATAAGCTGGGCTTAGCATGGTTTATCAGTTCGACTGCATCTCTGTGGATGCTTGAAACTCCCTTGCTTGCCCCCTTCTCTCACCTTGCTCCAGACTAGCTCCGGGCTTCTGTCACATACTAACAAATCCTAACTCTCAGCTTTAGGTCCTGGGTTTCTCTCCTCAGCTTCTGGACATAAACAGCTTCTGGCTGTTTCTAACTGGAGAATAATGGAGAGGAAATTCTTGTGCCAATGGTGAGAATTGGGGAAGGAAAGGGAACACAGGGATGTGTTGGTTGAGGGTTGGTAGCATGTTGGGCTCGGGAGGAAAGAACATTTGGATTCCAGAGCTGGGCAGTTCTCAGTCAACTGTGACGCTTTGGAAATTAGGTTGAGGGGACCATGGTGAGGAAGCTCCTATCTGGTGAGTTGGCCTGGGGCCTCATTTTGCCCTTTCATACAATGGTTCTATGTTCTCATTCTGCCTCCATCTGTTGAAGCCAATGTCCTCTGTTTCTTACTAGGTAAGCCCTCCCTCCATAATTTCCTCAGACCCCACCACACTGCCTCTTCCTCCCTCACCACAGCCCCATCCTTCCATCCCCACTGTCCTTATACCCAGGCCTCTTATAGTTACCCTGGTGTTGGGAATGGCCTGTTGCTGCCTCACCAAGCCCGCTGGTGAACCCGCTGATGCAGAGGCCACCTGCCTGAGTCTTGATCGCAGACTTGAGCTCCTGATTCTCCCTAATGAGCCGAACCAGCTTCTTCAGTTCCTCATTTTCCCGCACCAGCCTCTCTATCTGATGCCGAAGCCCCTCATAACATGTAAGTAGAGACATGCCCCAGGGCAGTAAAAAGGGTGCTGCCCAAAGGAGGGCACTGCACCTGGAGGCTGCCCAGGGCCCCGGGCCTTGCCCGGGCTGGAAAAGGGCACCAGAGTCTGCAAGGCTTGCCCAGTGGGCACTGGGTATTGTGAGGTCAGAGACTGTGCCCTCCTCCTTGCTCTTTGCTCTAACAGGCTCAGCTCTCTCTGCCTCCAGGCCCATGCCTCGCCTTACCTCAGCCTGAAATGTTCTGACAAGATCTGGCCAATTTTGATTTCAAGGCTGTGTCTTCTGCAAGTCTCTTTATCCTACTTCAAGCCAATGGCTGCCCCTAGACTTCCCCTGCTGATGAGGCCTATGTCACATCACTTACCTGTGTCTGTGCAATTAGCCCCTCAATGCTTTCCTCTGCATGTACAGTGAGTGTGGGTGTTGCACCTCCTCAGAGCCTTCAGACTAAGCAAGGGGTGCAACTTGGCACTGGCATTTGTTGATTGGATATTTGTTGATGAATATTCATTATTTAGCCTTCCCTGGGCAGAGTGCCCTTTCCTTTGGACATTGGCATGCCTGGATCTCATCTGTCAGGTCAGCTATCTCCCGAGGAAGTTCTGTCCTGTATACCAGGAAATTAGCCCACAATTTTTTTTTTCTGGGCACAAATGCTCCATCCCTTCCTTGGCTATTGGCCCAGGGTCGCCTTTATCCAAGCACCAGGCTCCCCACAGCTCAGGAGTTTTCATTTCTGACACAGGTTCTCTCACCCTTATCTGTAGTGGGGTGCATCCTTTGCACCTGATTTCTGCTCCTCAGGTCGTTGACTTTCATTCCAAGTTCCATCTTTTCAAGAATCTAAACTAAGACGTGACGGTGATCAGCAGTCCCTTCTGTTACTCTGTGACTGCCAGGGTTGACTTGGCTGATCCTGCCAGCTAGGCGAACATCTTCTTCCTCTCTCACTGCTCCATATGTGTCCCTCCTGAAGCTGTCAACCACCTTCCAGAGGAGGACCAGTCTTCAAAGATGTACAAGCAGCTTCGTTCCTCTGCTGTGGCTTCCAAAAGAATCAAGCCAGTCTTCCCTTGACTAGTTTTAAGAAGTGAGGACTGAGTCGTCCTGGCGCTCCCTTCTCTTAGAGCTAGCTAGAGAGAACTCCATAGATCTGATAGCGGGAGTCAATGGAGGCTGATCTTCAGGGCCACCACTGGCTGTATGGCTATCTTCTCTCAAACCTCTCGATGGGTCAGGGAGAGGTGGGGAGAGTTCACTTCCAGACCAGATTCCAGTGGTCAGACTCTGGTAGAGAGTGGAGCTGAGGAAGAGGAGATCAGCCAAGGCTGGGGGGTCAGTCTCAGTTGAGTATTCCATCTGGACCTCACAATGGGGAGGCCTGCCCCCCCACCTCTGACACTCCATGCTGTAATCCTAAGTCACTCTGGCCTCAAGGACAAGAGTACCTGAGGCACAAGGATGAGTTCTCTTCATCATTCCTTCTAACTTTATGGACTAGGTCTGTCAGACTTCCATCCAGCCTGTGACGAGACACTTACCATGGTCTTGGCTTTGAGTTGATATCATCTGTGATGGTTATATTTGATGGGTCAGTTTGGAGGGTCTAGGGTGTGGTGCCCATGTCTTTGGTCAGAAGCTGGCATAGACATTGCTGGGAAGGTATTTTGTCGCTGTAGTTAACATTTGCACAATGCTGGCTTTCAGTGAAGGAGATCTGTCTGGGTGCCTCTTTCCTCCACCTGTGCAGGCGTTGTGTGAGGAACTTGAGGGTCAGGGCCAGTCAGAAGCAGCCACTGTGAACTGACGGACGGTAATGACCACGTGAAAATGTGGAGTTACCCCAGTGATAAATGCTTGGAGATGGTGCTGTGGGGGGGGTTAGATACAGCTGGATCCGAGCAGCCTCACCTGAGCAAGTGACAGGGCAGATGGTATATATCAAGTGTGGGAAGAGTTTTCCAGCAGAAGGAACAGCCTGTGCAGAGGTCGTGGAGGAGGAGGAGAACACCATGAGGAAGCTGGACCTGTGGGACGGAGACAAGTGAACCTGCGTGTGCTAGAGAAGGATGGAGGGGCATGGCAGAGTGATGTGGACATAGGAGGGCTTCAGAAAAGGGAGTGTGGAACATAATGGAGAAAACCTGCAGGATGGTGTGCAAAAAGGAGATCATGGCAACCATCCAAACGAGCGATGGAGGCGGAAGGTGAAGAAAGGGGCCAAGGTTGAGAAAGATTGTTGGCAGTATTAAATCGACTGGTCTCAGGGAAGATGGTGAGGGGTGGGGGCAGGGGTGGCCTTGGAGTTTCTGGCTTGGGTGGTGGGATGGTCATATACCAAACCAACAGAGAGGAAGGTCAAGTTCAGGTTGAGTTTAGATGTGCTACAAGATCCTGGAGATGTGTTAAGCCAGGTGGGAGTCTCTCCCGTGAGTCTCAGAGTAGAACATGCTGCATGGGCTGGAAAGACAGCTTTTATAGTCAGCTCCTAGAGTGGCAAGTGAAGGCGTATGAGTGGATGAGATCAGCCAGGAATCGGTAATGAATGGGAGGCCCGTTGTGCCTCAAAGAACTAGGGCGTCTGCGAAAGGCAGAGGGGAGAAGCCACAGGCATGGGTGGGGATATCCAAGGAGGCCAGGTTTGGTAAGCTTCAACAGGGGAGTATTTCAAGGCTACAAAGCAGCAGGATTATCTAAGGATTCTAGGAAGTCAGATGAGACAAGACAGGAAAGTGTTAGCCTGGCGTGGAAGTCATTAGTGACATGTGGAAGGCTGCCTGAGTGGAACAGTTTGGCCCACTCCAGATTCACCAGTCTGGCGAGCGAGTGGGAAGGAAACAGAGAGCTGGGGAGTACATGTAACGTCTCTCAGGGGTTGTGAAGGAGTGTGAGTAGAGCTGACTTCCTTCACTAGTACCTTTCCTTTTGCAGTTGGGTGTCAGGGTAGACTGTGGTCCCTGTCTCCTTGCTGTCAGCCTCTCCATGGAGCTACAGTGTAGAGAGGGAATGTCCTCCATGAGACACTCCTTCCTGTTTGTTTTCTACTTATGACCATATGCTCTTTCTATTTTTTAAATAAGATGTGTGTGTGTGTGTGTGTGTGTGTGTGTGTGGCTGCAGAGGTTAGAGGCAGATCCCCTAGAGCTGGAGTTACAGGCAGCGGTGCTGGGATTTGAACTCGGGTCCTCTGCAAGAGCTGAGCTGTCTCTCCATCCTTGCTCTTTCTGTTCTTATTTCCCCTTCATTGCATTTTTTTTTCTTGCTATTAGTTTTGTTATGTTGTATTCACAAAGTGACCTTTGGAACCCAAAATACTGGCTTTGATTTTGGGGCAAAGTATTAGAAATTTAGAATAGGATTTATCTAAAATTTACACCCAGCTGGACAGTGATGGCACACACCTTTAGTCCCAGCACTTGGGAGGCAGGGGCAGAGGGGCAGAGAGGCAGAGAGTCAAAGGCAGTGGCAGTCAGATCTTTGTGAGTTCGAGACCAGCCTGGTCTACAGAGTGAGTTCCAGGAGAGTCAAGACTACACAGAGAAACCCTACCTAGAAAAAAAAAAAACTAAACCAAACTAAAACAAACAACAAACAAAAAGCAAACAAACAAATTTACCCCATCCATCTGGATCTTGTATTTAGGAAGTGAGGTCTGGGGAGTAGGGGTAATTGTCCCTGTGTTGTCTTCAGTCTAGCTTGCAAGGGCTCCTGGGCAAACTGGGCAAACACCTGGAAACAGGTCAGTGTTGTTGACTGTGGGCAGCTGGAGGTCCAGCAGGACGGGTCAGAACCCCCCAGCACCCACACAGGCTTCTCAGGAATTCACTGGGAACAAATCTTAGGGTTGTCCCTTCTTGAATGCTGAGTCAGACCCACTCCGTCTGGTTTCCAGTCACTGGGTTTGCACAGTTTGTCCCCATTCAAATTTGCCTTATTAGATTCAGTTCAGCATTCCAGCTTGGCAATCCCTCAGGGATCTCTGTTCCACCTCCCCCCACCCCCCATCCCCGGAATTCTTGCAGCTTCAGCAAACTTGTTAAACCGTTTTTGTTTCCTTTCCAAACATAAAGTTGCTAAGGGACTGGGGTCTCTCCTGGAGTCTGTCCGTACCCCCCTCTTACCTTTGACTTCACTCTCCATGGATGGACTATGATATGCTGAGAAGCATCTGCTGGGAGGCTGGGAGGCTGGGAGGCTGCCATATTCCGTCCATGACCAACACGATACTAGCAATGCCACGTGATCACTTTGATCCCGTCTGAAATAGTTGCTTTTAACTCTGTGGTCTGTCAGCATGTATTCAAGTCTTGTTGATGGCAGGAACTCCTGGGAAGAATTTTTCCTTTCTTCCGTTCCACTCAGCTACCTCCTGTCCCCCAATTTTTTTGTTATTGTTGTTTTGTTGTTTTTGTTTTTGTTGGTGGTGCTTTGTTTTTGAAACAGGGTCTCATTGGAAGCCTTGACTGGCCTGGTGTGTAAAGCAGGCTGACCTCAAACTCATGGAATCCCACCTGTCTCTGTCTCCCAGGCGCTGGGATTTAAAGGCATGTGCCACCATGTTGTGCTTTCAGCTAGCGTTTGTCACCGTGCTCTTAAATGTCAGTGGCAACTCTTATCTACGCCTGTCTTCTATTTCAGATGATGCAGGGGGCAATGGGTGACAGCTGATGAGTGCTACAGGTGTGCCAGGCACAGTGGTGGCGGTTGACAAGGCAGAGTGCCCCTCGGGACAGGTGAGAGCACTGTGCACAACCAGGTTTCCGCTCCCTCAGAGACGCCTCAGCTGTACAGGGTGCAAGTTCCCTGATACCCGCATCAGAAGTAGGCTTTGCCCAGAACAGGGTCTCAGAAAGACATCCCAGAAGAGAAGGTCAAGTGAGCCCCTGCTTTGCATTCCAGAGCCCAACACAGGCCCTCCTGGTGCATAGAAGGGGCTCAAAATGTGTGAATAAATTGTTATTCTCCCCCCCCCCTCGAGGGAACACTATCATAAAACTGAAAATCTT